TGGGGTGAGGCAGAGGCAGTCCCAGCCCCCCTGAGCCCAGCACACAATGTATTCATTTCAGTTGTGATCCACCTCTGGGGTCAGGGGTCAGGAAGGGTTCTGTTCTATTTCTCCATTGCTGTGTAACAAACCACCCCCAAGGTGGAGCTTTAAAACAGAGCACTCATCTGTCTTGCTTGCAGATTGTGGGGTGCCTAGGTGTAGCTAAATTCTGACTGATGGGGTCTCCCATGGTCAAAGTTAGGACGGGGCCAGTCCAGGTTACCCCTAGGGCCTCCCACATTGGCCAGAGAGGACCCTGCAGTGAGGGCTGGAGTAGCCGGGGCTCCCTGGCCTCCCAGCCTGCTCACTTGCTGAGAAGGACACCCCGTTCCTCACGTCCCCCCTCCAAAGCCCCCAGAAGCCTAGGCCTCTCAGAGCGACTGTCCTGAGGAAAGCCAGGCCCCTGTTTTAACTCCTCAGAAGGCGGCATCACGCCTGCCGCATCCTCCCCTCTGTCAGTGAGCCAACAAGGCCAGCCCCTAGGCAAGGACATGACAGTTAGCATCTCCTCTCAGTGGGAAGAATCAAAGAACTGGCAGGTGTGTTCTAAAGCCACGAGAGCTTCCAGTGGGGGTGAGAGCGAGGGTGAGACTTGAGGACTGAGGAGTGAGTGACAGACAGGTGGGGGGGAAGCAGGCTGTAGGGACAGCACATGCCAAGGCCCTGCAGCAGGGTGCAGCTTGCTGGAGGACAGGGCAGCTGGAGTGTAGTGAGGTTTGGGTGTCACTGGACTTGTGAAGGGTCCACTAGGTGCCCAAGGATTTGCACTCAGCCGTGGGTGCGCTGTGATGGTGCCTCGGGCGGTGGGGGTAGCACATCTAGTTTTCAAAACAAGGCCCTTGGGGTGCACAGGGTGCCCAGCTTATCCCTAGACGCCCCTTTCCCGGGCTCGGGGCCACAGGATGGGCCGGGGTTCCCCCCCTGACCCCAGGCCGGCTGTGACGCCACTGCGTCCGGCAGATCCTGTGCCTGATGCTGGAATACAACATCATCGACAACAACGACACCCAGCTGCAGATCATCTCAACCCTGGAGAGCACGGATGTCGGCAAGCGCATGTATGAGCAGCTCTGTGACCGGCAGCGGGAGCTGAAGGAGCTGGTGAGTCCATGACCAACCCAGCAACCAGGGGCAGGCTGGGGCAGAGCCAGGAACCTGTACCTGCACCCGGGTGGGTCTCTGTGCCACTGAGTCCTCCAAACCCAAGGAGGTTTGGGTCACCCCTACCCCTTTCCAGTTGACCAGAGAGAGGCATAGAGAGGTCAAGCACCTGGCGTAGTCACACAGCTCTTAAAAGCCTGGCCTGTCAGTGCTTGCCTATCCTCTATGTCCCCTGGGCCCTTCCGTCTCAGTGCCTGGGGACCTAACTTGCAGGTGCCAACACCCGTGTCTCTTGACCAAAGGGCCTTCTCTGTCCATATGTGCACACACATGTGCATAGCAGGACAGAAGCAGTGCGGATTTGTGGTCCTAGTCTCCTGGGGCAGTTCTCAACCTGTGACTCCTGGGGGTATCACACCCCCCGCAGCTCCCTCACCCCCTGGCAGGATGGCTCTGAGGCATGCCTTCCCCACCATTTCCCGGAGTCCCCTGGGGAAGTCGGTGCTGGCTCCCCAGTAAAAGCTGGAATGAGCCCCCCTTTCATTAGAAGTGTCCAGGGTCTCACAGCTCCCCGCCCCTAAGTGTTCCTCGGGATCACCTCTCTAGCAGGACACCTGCACTCAAACCTTGTCTCGAGGTCTGCCTCTGAGGCAGAGACCACCATGTTGCCTTCACCACCAAGAGGATGACAGTGGCTCCATGAGAGGTGGCGACAGACTCAGAGGCATGGGGAGACCTCAGAGGGAGAATGGGTCATGACCAATCCGGTTTCTGTTTCAGCAAAGGAAAGGCGGGCCCACCAGGCTAACACTGCCCTCCAAGTCCACAGTAAGTTGGTTTTGGTCTCTTTGTGGGTCTGGGTGGAGGGGAGAGGTGGCTGGTCCCCGGCTGGGGAATGGCTGGTGTGTCTGCTGCCAGGGTGGAGGGGTCAGGGAAGAGAACACAGAACCCCTAGAACTCCACCGGACAGCTCTTCCAGGACAAGAAACAAAAACCGGAGAGAGAAGTACAGCTTCATGAGAAAGATTGTTGGTGTTATGTTAATATCTCACCAGTTATTGGTCATAATAATGGTAATAATAGTTAATACCCACTGAGCATTTATGTGCAGATTTTGCACTATTAATACATCTTCGATTAGTTTTATCTTCACACAACCCTGTGAGGTTCGTGTGTCTTACCAGTTCCTTTTTACAAGGTCCTATTTCCTTCTTTTCTGCTGCCCATTATCCTTGACACACAGCTTCCAACTCAGGGACCAAAAGGGCTGCTCAAGTTCTAGCCATCTTGTCTCTGTCCCAGTCAGCAGGAAGGAGGAAGAGGCAAAGAAAAACATGCCCTTTGCCTTTAAGAATCTTCCTGGGGGCCTGGCGCAGTGGCTTACGCCTGTAATCCCAGCACTTTGGGAGGTCAAGGTGGGAGGATCACTTGAGCCCAGGAGATCGAGACTATCCTGGGCAACATAATGAGCCCTCATCTCGACAAAAAATGTTTTCAAAAATTAACCAAGCGTGGTGGCACGCACCTGTATTCCCAGCTACTCAGGAAGCTGAAGAGGGAAGATCACTTGAGCCCGGGAGATTGAGGCTGTGGTGAGCCCTGATCGTGCCACTACCCTCCAGCATGAGCTACAGAGTGAGACCCCACTAAAAAATAAAAAATAAAAAAGAGTCTTCCTGGAAATTCCACTTGACATGTCTACTTATGCCCTATTGTCCAGACTTAGCACATGGGCTATATTTAGCTGCAAGAGAGGCTGGGAAGTTAGCCTGAAACTGGGGCAACTGAAACTCGGGCTGGAAGGGTGAGTGTCATTCACCTTCGAGAACCTCGCGGCCTCGGGCTCAGCGTCCATTGACGCTTCCCGGCACTGGAGTTGAGAGTGGCCTCAGGGTCTGCAGGGATTGCTGCCTGAGAGAGCAAGGCAGCCAGGTGCACATGCACACACACGCATACACAGATGTGCAAACACAGACATGCACACCCATACGCACATGCCTGTGGGAGGAACCTGGCCTCGGGACACCCCGTTTGGTGACTCAGGCTGTGAGTCACAGCACCAAGGCTTCTCCTCCGCCTGGCAGCCATCCTCCTCGGGGGCGAGGCCACCCCCCTCTTTTGGCCCAACCCTCAAGCCATGCCGTCACCTCAGCTCCCGGGGACTTGCCACCCGGGAACAGTGCACCACGAGGCTAGGAAAGTGCCCGATCCCCAGAGAGGAGGTGGGGGGCACCGAGGGTCTGGAGCTCCGGGCACTGCACTGAGCCCGCCTGCCGCCGCCCGCAGGACGCTGACTTGGCCCGTCTGCTGAGCTCGGGCTCCTTCGGAAACCTGGAGAACCTCAGTTTGGCCTTCACCAACGTAACCAGTG